AGGATCAAAATCTACAATAACGTAGAATATTTTGTCTGTATGTTTTGTTTTAGTTTATTTCACATGGACTTGAATAGTTAATCATGATGTCTTTCACTTTAAATCCATTAGTCCACTTATATGTGCAAAGACCAGTTTTGTGCAAACCCTTTTCCTCAATTGAATCCTTCTTAGACAAAAAGAGCAGAAGAAGAGGGGCGGGTGAAGGATAATGACAGACAGGAAATTGGGTCTGGGTAAAGGAAGTGCGGGGGTTTCTGCATATGTGTGCCTCTGCGCTGTAAATTACAGCCAAAATGACAGGATGTGCCCATAAACACATATTGAAACGTGACCGATAGCTTCTCAGCAGGGGGAAAAGACATTTTTAGAGTGTAGTGGCACTTCCTGTCTGCCTCAGAAAGCTGAATCGTGGGTAATAATGGGTGTCTGAGAAACCAGAAGCGAAGAGCTATGAGCTTATACAGTGCCCTGCAGACCGGGTGTGTGATATTATTATGATCTGGCAAGGCTCACGTCAAGCATATAAGTTGTCTTTTTATGGCTAAATATGGCATATAGTGGACATAATTTGTGCTTTTGTGTCACATGGCAATGATATGGTGATCATATCCTTTTGTTTTAGGGTTTGAGATTCAGACTCTCCTTTGGGTCTGAATTTTACTGAAGTTGATTTGGTATAGTTGTGGGACTGAATGGTAATCTGGTACAGTATAAAGTCTTGGATTTTGACCAGTTGCCAAAAATGCTTTTTAATGATGACATTTATATAAAATAGTAATTCTTTTAAAAGTCGTTCCCAGGTTCTGTTTAACAGAGACAAGATTTTTTTAGCAATATTTTTAACATAATATTATTTAATTAATATAAAATGAATGAAAACTAATTAGTAATAACTAATTCTTTTTTTCTTTGCAATTTTGCTTGTACATTATATTATTTCTATTTTTTTGCAAGATAGTAATAACCTACTGAAAGGGCAGTTCATTCATTCATTCATTCATTTTACTTACTATTTTATGTGGGAATTCAACAATTCACTTATAGCGCATGTCTTTGGAGTGTGGGGGAAAACCGGAGCACCCGGAGGAAACCCACATGAACACTGGGAGAACATGCAAACTCCATGAAGAAATGCCAAGTGCAGTTTAAAGGCTTAATTATGTTAACTAGGCAGGTTAGGTTAACTATGCGAATCGTTGGACAGCACTGGTTTGTTCTGTAGTCAAAGGCATTTTTTTATTAACTGAACTAATAATATTGACATAAAAGTTTGTTTTATAATAGCTAAAATCTTTTATTCCTGCCACAATGCAACAAATAAGATTTTCGTCAGATGAAAAATACTTTGAAAATGTCCTTGCTCTTTTACACATGATTTGGGAAATATTATCCAAATAATAATAATTTTATAGGAGGACAAATAATTTAGCAGTAATGTCTTAATAATTTGAGCTGTGGTGTAACATCACAAATGTAGAAATTTAACATTATAATTTGTACAACCCATATTTATTTAGAGTCTCATTTTCAATAAATGATTCAGATATTCATTCATAAAACTTTTTGTTTCATTGCTAGATGTATAATTTTTTAAGAATTATTCAGTAATATATTTTTGATGGATGGGTGTTGCCTCCTATTGGTTAAATATTAAGTTAAATGCATATGACTGTAATTTTAATATTTACCATAAACATCAGTGGTTTTATTTGAACTATAAATTCTTTCCAGTACTTCTTCATTATTTGAATGTTTGTAACTTCATAACTAACTCAAAGATTGAAGATTGAATCCCTTTCTTGATTTTTGCATTTTTCAAACACAGATTTGAATGCAGCGATTCGAAGGTATAATAAACATATGCAAATCACCATCATTTATCATGTATGTTGCGTGGGTGTTGAGATCCCAATCTTTTAATGATAATTCGTCAAAGTCAGCCTTGTCAATTCAGCCACATGTACAGGACATATAGAGAATCAAAATTACGTTACTCTCCTAGGTGACCCTAGGTGCCTAACATATAATATTAATTTAAAAAGTACAGTTTTAAGAAAAATTAAATTTACAATATATACAATTGTACATAAAATGTGGTTGTGCAGCTTACACTAAATGCATAAGGCAGGCTAAACAAGTGACAGAAAACACCTTTAATAACCTATGAAAGCCACCACATCCCAAATAACCCACCACAACTTTTCCATTATAATTATATTTTACAGAAAAGCCAAAAAAATTTTCATACATGTGATAAGAATGACACGAGAGGCGAACTCTCTGTGATCGTTACAAATTTTGGATTAATCTACAAGTAAAAAAACATTAATGCACGGATCACGTGTGTTTCGAACCGTGGATTGTGATACGTAAGAATCATGGATCAACAGTGATCTGTTTACACCCCTAATATATATTCATTCATTCATTCATTCATTCATTTTCTTTTCTGCTTAGTCCCTTTATTATTAACCAGTGAACCCCCTACTTATCCAGCACATGTTTTACATGTTTTACACAGCGGATGCCCTTCCAGCCACAACCCAACATAAACGCAAATGTTTATTTGTGAAGTCAAAAGGTCAAAAACAAGACAAAAGTGTTTGGTTTGGAAATTCTATGCCCCAATTTGATGCTAATTATAATCAACTTCCAGTTTATAAATATAAAAAATGTAAAACGAATTGTACTACTTCCTTTTTTTAGATGAATAACTTTCCATCTCGATGTATGAATGTGAGTCAGTGAGCCACAGTGAGCAAGAGAAAGGAAAAACAAGGGTTTACGGCCCTTCGAGAGATGAGAAAATACGTGTTGTGCTGTCACTTTGCGGCTTCTGCCACTCTTAACACTCTTTTTTTCTGTGCGTCTCTCTCTCTCTTTCTCTCTCTTACACTCCCTCGTCTCTCTCTCTCTCTCTCTCTCTCTCGCTCTCTCTCTCTGTCTATGTCTGTCGCCCTCATTCATAATGGATGCAGAAGTGTTGAGGTTCAGCTGAGGTTGGAGCGTTTGTCCCTGTGGGGCCTCGATGCTTTCACTGAAGGGAAAGAAAAGAGAAGTCTTTTGATTTCGTCTGATGACGCAACTAATCTCATGAAATACAAAAGCAAGTCAAGTCATGTTTATCGTTCTTTTCATTACATGTTAGTGTGAGAAATGAAAGAGAACAAAACAGAAACATTTTTAGCAGTGACCTCAACTGAGCATGGACTTTCTGTAGTTTATAGCAACACTGAGGTCAATTTTTGACATGCTCTTTACATACTCGGTTCTTAAGTTTCAAACGAGTTTTTTTTTAATAGCGCTTGAGTCATGGCATCAAATTGTACCTCTGATTTTTTTTCTCCAATATGTTTGTTTATTCTTTTATTGTTCATTATTGTTTACACATGAAAGTGAATATTTTATCAGCCATATACTTCTGGGTGCCGCCATGTTTATTGTTTATCATTGGTTTAATTTTGAAATATTGAAATTAAAGCCACAAATTGTGATCAATTTCTAAGAATGACATTGAGAATTCAGATATTTCTGTTTGAATGGAATGCAGTAATCAACTTAAATTGTTCCTTATGCAGAAAGTAATTTAAAAAGCAGAATATTTGTTCATTCATGTATGTATGTTTGTATGTATGTATGTATGTATTTATGTATGTATGTACAGTTGAAGTCAGAATTAATATCCCGTTTCGATTTTTTCAATTTATTTATTTACATTTTTTTTTAATATATTTTCCAAATGATGTTTAACAGAGCAAGGACATTTTCACAGTATGTCTGATAATATTTTTTCCTCTGGAGAAAGTCTTATTTGTTCTATTTCGGCTAGAATAAAAGCAGCTTTGAATTTTTTATGAACCATTTCAGGGACAAAATTATTAGCCTCTTTAAGTTATATTTTTTTCTCGATAGTCTACAGAATAAACCACTGTTATACAATAACTTGCCTAATTCCCCTAACCTGCCTAGTTAACCTAATTAACCTAGTTAAGCCTTTAAATGTCACTTTAAGCTGTATAGACGTGTCTTGAAAAACATCTAGTCAAATATTATTTACAGTCATCATGGTAAAGATAAAATGAATCAGTTATTGAGAATGAGTTATTAAAATTATTATGTTTAGAAATGTGTGGATACACTTTGAAACATTGGATTTTTAAATGGGGTATAGGAACATGGGGTATATGACTTTTAATTTCAGCTTAAGTCTATTTAATTAAATGTATTGTATTGAACCTTATGAAATTGTAAATAGTCACATTAAGCTTTCGCCGAAAGTTTATTATTGGCTAAAAAACACTAGCTGTGCATATTCCCCATTGGCATATGAGATTTTAAAATGACGTGCATTACATGCTACTAATCTGCCTCCATAGTGTTTGCTTGGGTTTTGGACATTAGGATTAGGGTTAGTCTAATCACATACTCAAAGTGTAGCCTAATCTGAGGCTTGTTGCAACTGGCTTTTTTATCCCACAAAAAATCCTAAATTTAGGCGTGTTATTATGATTACAAATAATCAAAGCATTGCCAATCACAAGCTCTTGATCTTGAAATTAATGATTATCCCAGGCTTATCATAAAGAATCAGGGATAAAGCAACAATGGAATGCTCAGCAATTGAGTTTTGCTTATTTTTTTCCACTCTAAAAATCTCCAAAGTGCACCTTTAAACATGGAACTCATAAATTGCAAATCCGCCATCCTAAAGCCCCATTAGAAATCCAGAGGGAACCTATATACTAATTCCCTTCCAGGTTTCAGGGCTACAAATTCTGAGTTAATGGCCTTTATCTCAGCATCTGTTTATGCTGGTCCTAATTTACTGCAGCACTGCTTACTTGCTGCTGTCTTCAGCTTACAACTTCACTTTAACTGTTGCTCATTTGAACTCCCTGCCACACACGCACACACACACAAACACACAGTTGCAGCACTTATTGTGTCTCTGGTACCCACCGCAACACTAATGGGAGTTTTTTTGTCGCTTGTCGCAGAGAGGCAACTAAGAAGTGTACTCACCAAACTGGAACACTACCACACCATGGTACCACTACTGCTGGAAGGAACAGAGCAGCGACCAATCAGCTGGCTCCGCTCCAGGGTAAGAAAGAGCATTGCTGCAGCATATTTCTAATTTTTCTTTAACCCATACATAATTCATTTGCTCTTCCATCATGATTAGGGTGACCATTACTTCAATAGCAGGATACAGTAGCATACAGTTTTCACAGTTAAGCCAGGATAACTGAAAACTGGTCAGTTTCTTCCACTTTATCTCTTAAATAGATTTTCTTTTTTACTTTAATGTGGGTAATTTGTTTTATCTTTATTGATTATATTTGCCATCTTTTGGTGTAAAAGGACTAAAGCATTGGTTCCAATAAAAACTACATATACCAGTGGTTCTCAAACTTTTTCCTCAAGTACCACCTCAGAAAAAAATTCTCTCCAGATACCACCATAATAATGATACAAATAAATATAGGCTATATGTCATCATATTCATATATAAACCATTTTTGATCAATTTTGAAATATGTTGCATGTACACATGACAAATTTGTATATCTTTGAAATCTAAATATTAACTCAGCCAAGATCAGCTTCCTTTGCAATCTTTACAGTATGTGTCTCAGAAAAGTGAGTGATTTCATGCATAAATACACTGCTTGACCAATTCATACGTGATTTTTCCTTTCATATGTGCATAATTTCCATGATTTGATATCCTATTTTAAGTGGACCGTGGAGTTTGTGTTAACCGCACACAGAGACTAACTTTAATTAGGCTATATTCCAGTTTTAAGCTTCAAGCAGGGCAAAGTTGCTTGAGTCTATGTTCTGTGTCCCACGGCATTTGAATCACATCCAGATAAATTAGCCTAAATCTGAGGTAACGAATTAATCGAAAGCCACGCTGCTTTACAACACAAATAACTTTTATATATTGAAAACACGCATTATTTTACACAATTACGAACACACATTTCAAGAGTTCACACTTAGCTGATGATTGATTTATAAAGCTTGTTTGGCATGCTGTCCCAGCAGAGAACCCTGATCTCATAAGATCCTTGAGCCTGTCTCTCCCTCCTGTTTGCTGGGCAAGAGGAAAGTTTGAGCTCAGGTAGATCTCGAGAACTCCCCTGCTGTAGTAGCTGAACAGATGGTGATTACTCTTAAGAGATAACTATTTACTAGGTGCATATTGAAGGTGCCGATTTAGATTAGTCAATTAACTTAAATTGCATATTTTTTAGATGGTAGGAGGAAATCTGTGAATCCGGGGGAGACCCATGTGAGCACAGAAGAACGGGTAAACGTCGGCTGGCTTGATAAGGATTAGAACCAGTGACGTTCTTGCTGTGAGGCAACGGTGCTAACCACTGGGCCACCGTGCCACCCATCTAGGAAAGGAGGAGGAGTAGGGGTAGAAGGGGGATTCTTCAAAACAAAGATGGCTGTTATATGGAACTTAGAGTATTTATAGTGGCTTAGGAATTGTCTGATTGGTGAATCATAAATTGGATGATGGAATTGCTGTACTAAACATTCTAGGCACATTGATGTGATCAGAACAGCTCTTGCTGACCACATCAGTGTACTCGTTTCGTTTGCATCAAAGGGTTAAAAGTGTGTTATTTTTTTTCTTTTATTATAATTCAGTAATTCTCCACGTCCCACTAGAAGTACCACAGTTTGAGAACCACTGACATATACAATATCAGCAAAATGTAAAAATGACACAGAAGCTGCATCTGAAGTAGAATTTTTATCCATTTATAGTAGACCAACCTTTTTAATGTGGCCTATAGATGCCATGAATGCATTAACAGTTTAATACTGTCACAATTAACTTATGATGATTAAGGTTTGCATATATTATATTGCATATACAGTAGAACTATGGCAAAAAAAAAAAAAAAAACTTTAAGGGCACGTATTTTAACCCTTTAAGATTTAAGATATGTCCTTTGTGTCTCTAGAATGCATCTGTAAAGTTTCAGCTCAAAACACCCATCAGATTATTTATTATACCTTTCAGAAGTTTGTGCATTTTTAGCTCTGAGCATCTTGTAGCTGTTTTTGTTGCCTGTGCCTTTAATGCTAGTTCTCCCTACCCACCGTTCCCACGTGCCTGTCAGAGTGTGCCTCAGGCCCTGTTTACACTAAAATGTTTTAGTTTTAAAACGCATAAGTTTTGCTACAGTTACGCCTTCCGTCCACACTACGCTGGAGTTTTTGAGCACTGAAAACTGAGCTTTTTAAAAACACTGAAGGGGTCGTTTTTGATTTAAAATGTTGCTGCTCCATGTTAGTGTAGATGAGGGAAAACAGAGACATCTGAAAATGGAGGCGTGGCTGCAGACATTTGCCTTTCTGATTGGATCTTTTTTTACTCAAAATTAAGTAGCCTAAACAAGTTCAGTCTTGCATCCTCTCCTTGCGAGTTCAGACTTTACAAGTTTGATATGGAAAACAAACTGGTGAGGACACATCAGGTAAATCTTCAAAGGGAACAGTGAACTTTATAACCTCATTCACATCACCCTGACTATGTTGTTAATATATCTTAATAAATAAAATGAAGACATAATATAAAGAACTGCCTATTTTCATCAGTAACTTAACAGACAGCAGAAATGTTGAGGCGTCGTGTAGCTACATTTTTATATGATTGCCACTGTATGCACATTTATAACAAAACAGAGCCTATAACATAACTGCCTCCTTTAATTTTCATTGAAAATACAAAACATACCCTGTCTCTTTTCCTGAATATCAGTTTTAATAATCAACAATGGCCATTATAAAAGTATAACGTACAGTAAGTTTATACATTATAGAAAATAAAGGCAAGCAATCAGTCAAATATGCAGAATCAGTGTACATGTACGTAACAAATATAGTGAGATTAGATCCAGCGGTATGTCCGTGATAAACAGTCCGACGTGCACAGCTCTCATCGCTGCAGTTGAATTAAGAGTTGTATTAAGAGTTGTATTAAACAGTTGTATTAAGTAGTATTTGATTCATTTCATTAGTGACTCATTGATCCATTCAAAGATGTTGACTCATTCAGGAATCTTTTTGGAGCATCAACACAATTGATTTGAAAACTGTAAAAATAGGCTTTAAATCAACAGGTTACTGCAAGTCTTAATTATTCGTTGAAAAACATTAACTGATTTGCTTGGAATTGCTGATTCATAAAGAAACAAAACAAGTTTCTGTTTTTATGAATGGCTTATTGGAATTGCTGACTCAACCAATCAATTTAGAAACACTGAATGGTTCAGGAACCAACCCACTATTAATCAGGCATGCAGTGGTTCATGAAATAGAAAAGAGCCCATATTGACAGTATTGTGTGTACAGTAAATACAGTATGTACTACAGCTATAGATAGAATAATCTTCTTAAAGAAAGGACAAATGTATGTTCGATTTAAGTCGAAAGACGTAGCATTTCCAAACCAGACTGTCTGACATAAAACCAGACGAATTACCACACTAGTCATGAAGTATCATTGTCTGTTTATTTATATTTTTTATGTAATTTTTTTCTTTTTTTTTTCAAATAGCCTTGAGTTGTGCACACTACTTCAAATGAATAACAAATTGAGTCCAGTGCAAGTTCACTTCAGTTCGAAATGGTATAACATTAGACTACAGTACAAATTAGTTCACAATGTATGACTCCCATAGTCAGTATCATTATTGAGCCACAGCCTTTTAGCTCTAAAAGGGTCATTTGTGAAAATGAGTGAAAGGCCTGACTGCCAAACGGCACCAGAGGCACAGAAGCTGAGTGATGAGGTGATGAATCTTGAAAACTGTTTTGGAGTACATTAGATTAGATTAACTGCCTCAAGCCTTGGCGACATTGTCACAAAAAGTCACGAGGCCTTCGTCATTAAGACTTAATTGATTCCAGTCTCCGCACCAAGTTACTCGAGCTCCAGTGAATATAACAGTCAAGCGTCTTCAGTAGCTCAGAGCGATGTCTGACTTTAGCACATGGCACTTGGAAGCCATTTCATCTGCCATTTTGCAGTGAATTCACTTGTGCTTGGAGGTTTAGGCATCGGAAACTTGATGCATAACTGTCTGAAACATTGTGAATATCTTGAATATATTGTTAGGAAAAAGTTTTGTATGTCATGAAAATGCAGTGTTTGCAAATGGTTGGCTTTGCTTTCAGACGTGATTGCGATTAAACATTTGCAGGTGGAGACAGGGTTGTGGTGAGGGTACTGTGTTTCAGGCAGGAAATTCCTCTCAGAATAAAGGACATGTCTGCTTGCGCCACGAGTGGCCCGACTGATGGCCCAGAGCCATATCACTCCAGCTGGAGTAATAGAGGGAGATATGCTCTCTCAGCTGTTTAATAAGAAAAATAGACAGCCATTCTGTTATAATGAAGGGAAAGTTGAAGAGTTATTGAGATTTATGACATGAATGGAGCGCATGGAGGGAAGCAACTTTGGTTTGCTTGGTTATCCATAGAGCTTTTTTTTTAGTCTTGTTAAAAAATAGTTCCACTGTACTATATGATATTGTGCATTATGGCTTTAGAGGAACAGTTACTTGTACATTGAATTACCTTATATGTTTTTTTCCCAACACAGGCTCATTGGAAATATATAGTTTGCTTCAACCTACAGTTTTGTTTTTTTAAGTACAGTTTCTAGGCAAAATAAATGCTACGGGCAGTACTATGCCAACAACTCTAGCTCCTTTTCACACTAATGATAGTTACAGGGACATACTATTGACAATGTTTTTGTGTAATTCTTTCCATGGCACCAAATAAAAAGCAAAAATCTATCTATTTCCATACGGACAACTGTTGTGACATGGTCAGTTTGATCAGTACCTCAATTTGCATGGTGTTGTAATTATGATGCTGAGCACTCGGATTCGAGTCCAGTAAATCACAAAAGGAGTTAAAGCAATGTAAAATAAAGGTAAAGTTACGTGGTCGCAAACCGTTTTTGCCTCTACTAGATCTGATCTTAAAACTAAGCATTTTCAGTAAATATCATCTTTCTTATTACTAACATTGTGGAAAAATAGAGAATATAATATTGAAATATATGTACACTACAATCGAAATTCTAAGTTTAATCCTATTTCCTCGCTATAAAGATGTACAGAGATTTGACTGGGGTGATTGTATTCTATAAAAAATATATATATACTTTTTACATTTAATTTTTTTAAGTCAGGATGTCAAGATTGCTTAAATTATTTTACAGTTATATAGAATTTATGAACCCTTGATTTTCAAAAGTCACTATCATGCAGATATTCTTTGAAGAACATCTTTTCTTGTATTTCCTCTCAAGATGTGATCCATTGCATTTTTAATTGTTCATTGGGCTTGACAATAAGTCACATTTTTGTTTTAACATAGAAAAAGTTTGTATAATATCCATCCTGACTCACTCTGGGTGACGACCTGCTGCAAACGCAGGTCTGTGTAGGTCTAAAACATGGAGAATACAATCGGCCTCTGAGCGATCTGAGAGAGGATCATGTGAGCTCTACTGGTGCTCCTGTTGGCTTTCGCTCAGGAAAGTCACTTTTCATTTGCATAAAGTTGCTGTCGCTCTTGTAGACGGATCACACGGTCATATTGGAGTGATATAAAGTAAATTAGTCTCTTTTTTTAATTGCCTGACATTAAAATAAGATCTAAATCCCTCCCATTTTGAGGCCCATCGCAATGTGACTCTGGACTGTGGTTTCCCCACCCACTGAATTGATTGACAGCCTCGTAGTAAATGTCTCCATAGTAATGTGTAAAATCATATTAACAAGTTAGGAAGTGCACAAAGCAACTGGGAATAAAGATTTGTTCGGTTCGCTGTGATTATCAGTCATCCTCAAATGTGATCAAGTATCAGTTTTACAAGTTTAAAACATTTTTAAAACAGTGCATGTTTGTAATAAATTACAGTGATTTTACTGTCTTTATCACTACAGCCGCGTGTCAGTACAATTATGAAAAAAGACACTTCAATCCTGATTTGTGGACATTGAATCAGGCTTATTTTGTACATTAACATAATGAATATCCATACAGCATTTGATACTAACGTGTATCCTGTGTATTTTTGTGCAAAAACAGTGCAAAGTTAAACACGCACGCTATGTGTTTGTCTTTGTCTGCTTGCGAACTTTGTAGTGACATTGATTGTAACTCATCATTCCCATTGACTCATTAACTCCATAACAAATACATCAAATAATCATTGGGAAAGTAGTATTTTTTCACAAACATTACGTAAGATCTGCTTTCTTCATGTCTGTCACTGTGCTGTTTATCTGACCAGGGGTGTGATTTCATTTAACGACCACGTGCACTCTATGACCATCATAAATACAGCAGCAGGAAGCACTTTTGTTATTGTCCACTGCAAGTCATCTGTCGTTATGTCTTTATTTTTTCAGTGCTACAGCTTAGCACCTGAAATGTAATGCCTGAAATTGATAAATTTATACCTGAAAAAGTCATAAAATTATGATAATACCAATTTATAAAAATATATTCAATAATTTATTAAAATTTCTAAAAAGTGGGGATTACGCTGAAGGAAAGAGAAAGGGAAACTGAAAGTGATAAACTTTTTAGCAATGCATGATAAATTTCTCAGGGTAGAATGTTAAAGTATTTTGGGCTGCTTAATTCAAGTGGACTTAATATTTTTACAGTGGGAATTATTGAATGAGTAGTAGTTTATTTATCATGTAGAATAAAGAGTTGACTAAATTACAGGGAATGTTGGGTTGGATCACGTCTTGTCTTCGGTTGGATCACGTCTTGTCTTCTCACTGTTGCCAACTATTTTCAATGAGTAGGCACTATGCTCTGCCCGAAAAGTCGCTAGATTACATCATACGTCAATTTGCATATTACTGACATCATCACGTTCTACCATCTCTGTTTGTTTATCAGTCTATGCTTAATAAAGGGGTATTTATATTTGCAGTACGCTTTATAAATCCATGTCAACTAAACTAAATTTATTGCTGTTTGAATATAGTATATCAGGTAAGATATGTAGTGAATTTGCAGTAATCTGCTCAAAAGACGTAATATACTCAGACACATTCCGAAACGGTCACTAAAATATTTGTGATTGTGAACAAGAAAAGAATAAACGGTCAAATGAAATCATTAAAATAAAGGAGAAGCGGATCAGTTTGACTGCACAACGGAAATACCTCACACTGTCGCCGGTGCTAAATCATTTGCTGTGGGTACACAGTGGGGTGATCCGCTCATAGGCTGCAGGGGGGAGAGACTGCTGTACGAAGACTGGACCGCCTGTCAGTGCTCTGAGGTGGGAATGAGACAGACAGCATCACCCGCAGCTCATTGAAAAAAATAGGGACGGTACAGTACGGACACATGAGAGTCCATAAAAACCTCCTGTAACACACCAAAAAGTTGCTAGATTTGTTGCTTTTAAAAATTTGTCGCTAAGGGGGTTTGAATAGTCACTAAATATAGCAACAAAGTCACTAATTTGTCAACTCTGCGTCTTCCTCCTTTTTTTGCCCTTGGATGATCACATAAGGAGGAGATTGAGGCACACTTTGACAGACACGTGCAAGGCTGGTGGAGAGAACTAGGATTAAAGGCACAGGCCACAAAAACAGCTACATTGTGTTCAAAGCAGAAAGTTCTAATGTTCTAAAAGATATAATAAATAACCTGATGGTTGTTTTTAGCTAAAACCATCAGACACATTCTGGAGACACAAAAGACTCTTCTCAAATCTTAATAGGTGCCCTTTAATAATGGTAAACAAGCCTGGGTTGAGGTCAGAAATGTTTATCAGGAATTTATGATTTCAAAATGTGTATGTATATGCAGCTCAGTTTATATTCCACAGATCTTTAATTGATTGGAGTGAATGAGGGTTCGGTGTGCATGAACACATCAGCCTTGGCCCTGTGCATAGTGTTCGACACATTACTATTTGCAAAGTGACACTTGGAAGGTTTTCCTCTCAATGGCATTGTCTGGTGCGCTGAATCAAATCTTGAATCATTTAAAGGTGTGAAGGATGTGTGTGTGTGTGTGTGTATGTGTCTCTGTATGGGTGTGTGTTTGTGTGTTTCACTGGGGAAGGTGCAGGGTTTAGAGTAAATTGGTTGCAACAGGAAAACAGGACATGCAGTGATTATTTTGTTTTTCATTTATTTAGACGCCTCCCGCTTCGCTGCACATCCTGATCCAAACAGAAGGACAACAGCTGATTTTATCTGTGGAAAAGAACCAGTGAGTCTCTCTCCCTCAACACTCCTGACACTCAAACCACCACACATGTGATCAGACACACCATGTTTTTTCCAAAACCACATGCTGAACTCAATGAACACTTAGAAATTCTGATCTTCTCTGAGGTCTCAACAAAACAAATCAAACAGAAAGTAACTGCAACATCACAAATCTTTTGTGTCCTTTGTGAAGCGTAAAAGTACCAATCCACATCCATTTTACTTCTTGGAATAGAGCAACACGGTTTACTTCGTCATGACTGACCAACACGCACAAAGTAAAGGAACTATGATGTAAGACTGCATGAATATGTATTTAATATTTCAATACATTTATAGGAAAACAAGTAGGCTAATGCAGTAAATGCCTAATGCAGTAAGAGGCACTCAAGCAGAGTGAAACTCGATGGTTTGAAACATTAAGCAGCTGGAAACTTAAAACAGGTACATAGATAAATGGGTAGATTGTTCACTCTCTCGCTCTCTTTCTTCTCTTTTCATTGTGACAAGGTTGTACACTATTCAGAACTGAACTACAGGAATTCCTCAGAAGTGTTCAGGAACAGTTTTGAAATGTCAAATGTGAGTTTTGAACTGAAGTAGCAGACAGGCTTCAGAATTATCATTCACATTTTAGTATAAATGGAACTTAAAGATGCAGTAGGTGATTGTCTTCAGAAGCATTTTTTGTTGTGCTGGTTAAAAGCCTCTTCACATTCCAAAAGTAATGATTAAAGTAAATGATCTGAATGTATTTATATGTGTTTTTTTTATTCTAGGTAAGGCATAAGACAAAAAAAAAGATAACCCCATTAAAATTTGTTGGGCCGATATTTCCCATAATTCTGATAAGTAGCCAAAACTGTCTGTTAGTAAAGTGTTAATTAATGTTAGATAAGCATTAGGTAATGTTGAAATAGTGTACACTTTACAATAAGGACCATAATTCTATTAATGAATGCTTTGTTAATGATAAATCATGTTAGTAAAGTGTTAATTAACGTTACTTAAGCATTAGGTAATGTTGAAATAGTGTACACTTTACAATAAGGATCATAATTCTATGAATAAATGCTTTGTTAATGATAAATCATGTTAGTAAAGTGTTAATTAACGTTAGATAAGCATTAGGTAATGTTGAAATAGTGTACACTACAATAGGGATCATAATTCTATTAATGAATGCTTTGTTCATGATAAATCATGTTAGTAAAGTGTTAACAAACATGAATAACAGTTAAAGCTGCGGTTCTGATGTAATGCACTCCAAAAGAGTCCTCCTTTGTCCCTGACATTGATCAGGAACTATGCACTTATTATAAGCTTTACCAATTATGCTAACATGTTGTTCATGTTAACTAACGCGTTAACTAACATTGTAAGTTTTCATGAACAAGGATTCAGTATTGCTTTATAAATGTGTTGTTCATTATAAGATCAAGTGATCTAATCCATTAACAAATGCGTTAGTGTATGAGTGAGTAAACATGAACTAATTAAGCTGTTCATAGAAAGGGATGCATTAGATAATGTGTAAATAAACATTAACAAAGATTAAGTAATGCTGAACAAAGTCCTTAATTACTGTTAGATCATGTTTACTAATGCATTAGCTAACACATAAATAAATGTTTAGTTAACATTAACAAAGGTTAGGTAATGCTTAATAAATGCGTTATTTATTGTTAGTTCATGTTAACTAATGCATTAACTAATGTTAACTAATGCACCCTTATTGTAAAGTGTTACCGAAACGGTGTTCATCTTAACTGAAAGCTACTTTGTGTTTGCTGGCCTCACACATCATGTGTCAGTCAGTCAGTCAGCATGTCACCTTAAAGGGTTAAACAAAAAACCCACAGCACTACTATGGTTACAGAAAAGTTTGCAATGTTATAATTCACTTACATTTTAATATGTTTTGGTGCGATTTATAACTCACTATTAAAAAAAAAACTGAATGTATTGAATGAGAAGCTGTAATGTGGCCGTGGCAAGTTGAACTTTGGTGTGGTGCCCTGCCATGAAAGAATGAATGTAGAGGAAACCATAAACATGTAAATAGACAGTATAGACTACCGGTCAAATGTTTGTGGTCAGAAGGATTTTTAGATATGTTAAAATAAGCTCATCCTGCTCACCAAGGCTTCATTTATTTCAGAAAAAAATACAGTACAAATAAAGAAAATTGTGAAATCTTGTTGCACTATAAAATAACTGCTTAAAAGTAGTTTATAAATTCATTTAATCATTTATTTCAGTGATTTTCAGTCACATGATCCTTCAGAAATCCCTCCAATATTAATTATTATTGTTATTAATATTAATACTATTAATGGAAATAGTAATAAAAGCAATGACTGAAGTACTCATTTCATTTCAAACTACATACAATAACTAATAATTAATTATTTAATAAATATTTTACAATTTAACATTTTTACATTTAATAAATGATGCCTTGATAAACAGAATAATTGTATTTAAATGATTAAAAATAAATAAATAAAATTATAATAATTAAAAAAGACTGACCCCAAACTTTTGACCGTTAGTGTTATACTGCTGCCATTTCCAGAGGATATCAATAACATAAGTGGCACTCTTGATTTAGAGCAGAATATCTCATATATTATATATATTTATGGGAGAGAAGGAGCAATGGACAGACAGACAGACATAAAGAAAGAGAGAACCGTTGGGCCCACAAAGAAACTCCAGGGACGTCTGCTACTAGCTGACCTTCTCTGTACATTACACCGAGTTCATCTCTTTCCCACAGCAAAAAACACACAACAAATAACATCACTCATCCAGATATATAAAAGCCCAGCCCAGAGGACAGACCCTCGTTTCTCTGGAAGCACTATAAAGCTTTGTGCTCTCATCATGACAGTAATCATAACCATCAAGACTACAATACAAATATATATATATATATATATATATATATATATATATATATATATATATATATATATATTTGTATATATATATTTGTATATATATATTTGTATATATATATATTTGTATATATATTTGTGTGTGTGTGTGTGTATATATATATATATATATATATATATATATATATATATATATATATATATATATATATATATATATATATATATATATATATATATATATATATTCAGGGCAATTGCACTGTTTAATATGAGCGTTCTAACAAATTTTGTTAGCTTTCTTAAACATGCACAGTGATTGACTGCATATTAATGGCAGATGAGTGGCAACACCTGGACAAATCTAACAGCTTGTGTGTATCATTTCAAGCCACAATAAAACCGAGGATCTAATTTATTCACTCTAGCTTCTTTTGACAATGGGTTTGATAAAAGAGCTTTGACGGTTTCCATCTTTTTTTCTGAATTTCATCTAACCTCATCCTGAACTCATTTCGGATGAATCTATTTGATAATCTTTCTTGTTTTACACAGATCAGCCGCGCGGCACAGACCAAGCACCAGCCTTGAACTCAGTTTAACTCATAATGAACAGGAAAGCTATGCTGACTTTGATTGCTCATCCAAAGGATTTTCAAAATAAATAGCTTAGGACTGTGTGCGCTGGCGATTGCGGCTTCAGAGCTGCCTGTCAGAGACTCTGAGATTTGAAGAGAACGCTGATAGACTCTAATCAGCAGCTGCCCAGTGAAGTTGAAGCTTTGCTCCACTTAATTCGCTGAATTCTCTTAAGGGCCACGTTCCTCTCAAGACTGAGTGAAAACACTTAGCATAAAGTCCTCAACACAAAGCCAGGCACAGTTAAAGCATGCAGTGTTTGTGCTTCATGAAGCGATAGTTGCAATGTTAACCTGAGCTTACACTATGCCAGCCCACTTAGAACTTCAAGTATCTTAAAACCGGTTACAGTATATTTTAGGTGTAGCACCACCAAGTTTAGCAACTGAACTATTAGAATTCACAACTATTGTACTATAATGCCCATAGACATCATTCTGACCGTTCATATAAAACTGTACCTAATTTTAATTATCATGCCATATTTACATTACAATCTTCTATTGAGATTTTAAAATTAAGCTTTGAATGTATGTCATCATACTTTATGAAGTCATTACCCTGAAAATATCAACCTTTGTTGTAATATAGCCTATAATTGTATACAAATGTCACATGTGGGTATCAAGGCGAGGGACAATATGAGTGAGGATCCAATCGCAGTTTAATAAGATATTCGTGATATATTTGTGCAGGCAAATAAGATCAAAACAGGTGAGGCTAGTACAGGGATGGGCAAACTTGATCCTCGAGGGCCGGTGTCCCTGCAGAGTTTTGTTCCAACACTAGTCAAACACACCTGAACAAGCTAATCAGTGTCTTCAAGATCACTAGAATCTATAAGCAGGTGTGTTTGATTAGAGTAGGAGCTAAACTGTGCAGGACACCGGCCCTCCAGGACCGAGTTTGCCCACCCCTGGGCTAGTACAAAAAGGACAATCCAGGTTGAGATGGCTGACGTGAAACTGACACTTTGACACAATGTCGAGATTCCAAAGTGCAAGTGTTTCGAAACACTGCACAGAAGCATTAGGGATGAGCGGATCAATATTTTCGATACTGGGAATGCATCAAAAGGATTGGTCCTTAAGTCAAAGTATCGATCTTTTCTGGGGTTTTTTCTAACTGAGTGATCAGAGATTTTAGAATATCTCAATAATTATAGCGCCGCATATTATATAAATATTTACTTAAATATGAACACAAATGGGAACTATTACATTCTTCCACTGTATCTCTGCTTATAGGTCAGCGTTAGCTCATGGCACAGTAACAGACACCTCATTGAAGAGAAAGAAGTTTCCCAAAACCAAGATCCATTCATTTGGTGAAGAAGTCATGAGCAAACATTCCCTGCTCTTAGCAATCACGCAAAAAAATATCTTGGGATCTCACTGCATCATCTGTCCCTTCTGAGAGAATTTTTTTCCAAAGCAGGAGAGTTGATCAGTCAAAAAAG